GAAGACACTGAGTTGTTGTTGTTTAAGCCTGGATCTCTCCAACAGACACAGAACATGAGTGACATTTCCTTGGAAACATCCCGTGCTCAGTGTACAGGGACAGTCTGAGCATCCAAACCCCCTCAGAACTCACCTGGCCCAGGCTGGACCTGCCCAGACATCCCTGCCCTGTGACACCTGAGCACTGTCTGAACTGTGCAGACAATCACAGAATGGGTTGGGTTGGGAGGGACCTTCAAGATCATCTCATTCCAACCCCTCCTGCCTGTTCTTGATAAGCACATTCCCAATCTGTTCATTCCCACAGGGGCTGTGGCAGGAATGCTGCTCACCATCCTGGGGGTCTCACTGTGTGTGGCTGCTTCAGGAACAAGAAGCAGAGGGACAGAACCTGACCAAGGGTAACCCCCTGTGGCTGAGGGGGCTCCTGGCTCAGCCACGCCTGGGAAAGGTGGATTTTAACACACAGATGTCAAAACCCATGGACTGCATTCCCTGAGCAGCAGGGTGGAACAAAGCACATCCCATTCCATGTCTTAAGGAATTTTTTTGTGGGTGTTTCAAGACAATGACAGTTGAATTTGCTCAGCACTGAAGGGGCAATAAGGGGTTAATAAATCATTCAATGGGACCTTCTGGGACTGACTGATTTTTGATTAGGAGGAATTTTTTTAGGAATTCCTCCTTCTTGTAGCCAAGCAAGTGAAAATGGCTTTTTCTGCTGTGCTCAGCTGTCCCAGCTCACACTGCACAGCCCCTTACTCAGAGGTTACTACAGGGCTTTGCTCAGAGTTCCTCTCGTCCATCAAACACCCACAAGTGCAGTGTGTCCCTAAGGAAGGAAGGGTGGGTTCCTTTTCAGTGAAATTATCAGTCCAAAGTACCAGAGAAATCACAGAAGGAAAAAAAAAAATAATCATTGTCACCCTTGTAATTAATGAGAAACTCCAGGGAGGGAAATCAGAAAGCCTTGCCCAGGGAGGGTGATGCAGGAGCTGTTTATTCCTGTGACTTTTCCTAAATCAGGGAGATGTTCCCAAGACAGAAATAAAATAGATATGGATTTGGGAACAGCTTTAATTGCTGCAAACATTATCCAGGCATTGCAAATCAGAGGGACAACAGTACAATGAAATCTCTTTCTAAGAAATACCCGACATAGAGCAAACCCTGGCAGGTGTTTTGTTATTAAAACATGTTTTCTGTTTGGTAATTCTTCCTTCCCCAGTTCAGCTACAAACCAGCCCATTTAGAGCTCATAAGAGCAGCCATTTCCTCTGAGAAATAAAGGGGAAAATCTTCATTATTTAACAACACTGTGCCTCTGAATAAAACCAACTGCACAGGAATGTGATCCAGGGGGGGAAAAGCCAAGGGAAAGCAGCAGCATTGGAGCACCCAGTGCAGCAAACACAGCACAACAAGGGTCAGGAACCACCAGCTAAAGCTTCACCAGGGCTTTCTCTAATTTCACTTCAAAGGAATTGTCTTCCTTTGAAGTTCTAATTAACCCAGAGACACCACCGAGGCAGAGCTGAGTCACCCATTACAGCAATCCTGAATATCCTCAGGAAAAGCTGGAATCATTAACACACCACTGACAACAAGAATTTTGCTGACCTCGTCACGCAGAATATTGTTTTAGAAAGAACTATTTTTTCCCTCTTTTTTAAAGCAAAGGTTTGAACTTCTGTTACTAAAACAAGCGTGTTCAAGTCATTTGAAGAATTAGGTGGTTATTCCCTGGTGGATTCTGAGCTTCACCTGGATACAGGTTAAGTTCTGCTTAAGGAACTTCAGGAACTGCAGTGGGAGGAATCTGATCACAGGAATGTTCTCCCCCACTCCACAGAACCAGTGAGGGGAATAAATACCTTTCTGTGGTGTCTCATTTTGGGTTTTCATGTAAGTTCTTCTGTGACAGGAGTGAGGATGGAAACACAGAAGAATCCAGGAGAGCCTTTGCAGTCCTTACTGGGGTGGGAAGCTGCAGCTTTCACGTTCCAGAAGGGAATTGTTCATTCTCCAGATGGGATTTCTTGCCTTTCTAACACACGAGGCCCTGCAGTGACACCCTGCTGTGGGTTCTCAAGTTCCCCCTCGTGGTTACTCTCGGCTTTACACATCGGAGAGCAGCTCAGTGTGTCCTAAACCTGATAAATAGGATTTCAGTGAGAAAACAAGGACTTCCCCAAGGAATTGCTGTGAACTCTCGATTGGCCCTTGGGGCTGAGCCATTCCAGGGGGACCCTGGGGCAGGGAGGTTCCAGACAGGCAGGAAATCCCCTCTCAGACCTGGTCAATGGGTACATCCAGCCTGGTGTGTCCACCCTCTTCCCGAGCACCTCTCATCTCCCTCCTTGGATCCCTGGGTTTGGAGAGGCTTTTTCCTGTGAGGAAAAGAAAAGGGAAAAGCTGTTCCATGGGTGTTGCATGGCCTGGTCACGCTGAGGCTGCAGAGTCCTGGTGTGTGCCCAGGTGAGGAGGGGAAAGAAGAACTGCAGGGATTGCTGGATGCATCCCTGCCTGCTGTCAGGGCAGGAGTCCTGTTCTTCAGCATTATAAATCCAGCCCCCTCCACACTCACACCTTCACCTGGGCCAGGCTGCACACTCCTGCTGCTCCTTCTGTTCTGTCCTGCACGCACAGGTTTGACATGGAAAATGGGCTCTTCCTCCTCGAGGGGAGATTCCCTGGCTGGAATTTGCAGCTGTGGGGAGGCAGGTGGGATCTTGCCTTTCTCTGCAGCTCCCGTGGCCTGCACCCTGCGACTGCCCAGCTGAAAAAAAAACCATCACAGTTTATAAAAGAGGAGTTGTGCAGGGCAGTGCCTAAACACTCAAATTCCTGCTGTTTTCCTTGATCCCGACTGGTACAAAGCTGTAACTGTAACAAGAGGGTTTCAGGGAGAGGCTGTGGCTGCCCCATCCCTGGAAGTGTCCAAGGCCAGGCTGGACAGGACTTGGAGCAACCCGGGATAGTGGAAGGTGTCCCTGCCCATGGCAGGGGGTGGCACTGGGTGGGCTTTAAGGTCCCTTCCAACCCAAACCATTCCATGATTCCATGATTGCAGCACGAACCACTCTGTGCCACTGAGCACTCACCCTGCCCTGGCTCTTTTTGTGCCTGGTTTTGGGGTGGTTCCTGTAAGAAAGAAGCAAATTCCAGCGTCAGGCAGAGGTCAGCTGAGGGAGGGCACAGTCCCCTCTTTTCCCAGAGGAGAAGGGGCCCAGAGGTGTTTTTCACATTCCACAGTGGATCCCATCAGGTGATACCACACTGCCCACCACAGACCTGGGAAATTCCATGGATAATGGGCAGGGGTCCCTCTCAGTGCTCCATGAACATGCAGCTGAGAAACAGCCCATTTGCTTCCTCTGGCACTGAACCCTGGATTTCAGGGACTAACCAAAAACCTTTGAAATCATTCTTCTTCCTTCCCTGAACTCCCAACACACGAAGTACAACTCAAACCCTGGCACAGGCAGAGGGAACAGAGGGGGGGCACAAAAAGGATGGCTCTGCCTGAAGGCCACCACAGAGGGAATTCCTGACACCCCTTGGCCACAGCCCACTCACCTCAGTGTCCTGCACTCCTGGGGCACCAGCAGCTCCCTGTAGGGCAGAGGTTTGTACTCCTCCTTTCCCACTGCCACGTAGTGATGACCATTCTCCAGCTCCTCTCCTCTGCACACCGGGGTCCCATCCAGCCTGCAGAGCCTGGAGGAAGGAGACAGGGATCAGGGATCAGGGCTCTGGCAATCCCTGAACAGCCCCCTCAGCGTGGAAAACAAGGGCAGAGTGGGAAACGAGGCAGAGGATCCATCATTCTTAGTGTTACTCTGAGGAAGTCACAGAAATCATGCCCAGTGATCAGTGAGATGCAATAGACCCCAGCTTTCTCCTTGGCTAAATTGATGTTTGGGGAGGAATTCGGTTTTCTTCCCCTCCCTCAAGACAAACTCCTTTTTATACCACTGTTGTGGGGTTTTTTTACTGCTTGCTTATTGCTTTTTCACCAGCATCACAAAGCACCCAGGACATTGGGGTTATCCCTGATTTAGTGATGGGAAAACCTGAAAAGCAAACGAGTTTGCAAAAGCAGATGGTCTGAACTTCCAGCCAGAGCTCCCCATGTCCTGGATCTATGGGAAGTGCCTTCCCTGGATACCCACTTGTTAACGGCTCCACTGCCCAACTCCACTTTCTCTGTCAGCGTGGCCAGGAGCGTGTCCCACTCCAGTGGGATCCTCTTGGGGAGCACCAGTGGGAAAGGAGGGCTCAGCAGATCCCCATTCCAGAAAACACTGCAGGAGAAGCAGCCCAGAGCACGGGATGAGCCAGCATTCCCAGAGCTGTGGGAGGTGGGGAGAACAGCCAGACACCAGTGCCCAGACCCTATTTACAGCAAATACTCCTGGTGGAAACTGGGAATCGTCCCTGTGGGGCAGCATTCCCGGGATTTCACAGAGAAACTCCCTCTGAAAACATTCCCAGGGACCCTCCAAGGGGAAAATATGGAATCACTTACTGTATGGTGCAGGGCAGGCGGGAGAGCTGCTGCCGTTGGACGAAGGTGTTGGATTTCCAGGGATCTGCAGCACAGGACTGGGGACAGAGTTCATTGCACAGGGACAGCCCTGCAGAGCCTCCCAGGCTGCTCCTGTTTCTCCATCAGGATCTGCCTGCCCTGGCACACACCCCTGGGATACAGCCTGTCCTGGGACACAGCCCATGGTGGGATACAGCCTGTCCTGGGACACAGCCCATGGTGGGATACAGCCTGTCCTGGGGCACAGCCCATGGTGGGATACAGCCTGTCCTGGGACACAGCCCATGGTGGGATACAGCCTGTCCTGGGACACAGCCCATGGTGGGATACAGCCTGT